CACACACACACACACACACACACACACACACACACCATGTCTCTCTATGTGGGGACTTTCCATTGACTTCCATTCATTTTTTGGAAATTTTATAGCCTATCCCTGACCATCAACCCTAAAATTAACATCACAGGTACCTACCTGACCCTAAAACTAACCTAAACTCAATTCACACCTTGGTCCTAAACCCAACCCCCATGACAGTAACACAATTAATGAACTAAATCATCCCAAGCCAGAGTATGACAAGTTTATGTCAATAGAATGAAAATCACCAAGCAGAAAGCACAGCAGTACTGCTCAAATGTGACTGACTGAAGATAGAACAATGCCATTACATAACAGCTGAGTGCAGGTTGCATTAGAGCTGTCACTAAATGAGCTGGACAACTTCACACACAGCAAAAGCCAAATCCTGCAGTTTAACTCAGCCTCACACACTAATGATGCAAATTAGGCTACATGTTGTGCAAACAGCACATCAAATAAGCAAAAAGCATAATGTCACAAGAAGTTCTTTCTTGTCTTTTTCCTTGCCAAATTGCAAATAAAGTCCTCAAAGCCTTAACGGCAAAACCTTTTTTATTGCAGCTGCTTTTTTCTCTTCCTCCCAGCTTCACTCCTGAGCTATCAATTGCCACTGTCCATTTTCTAAAACCATAAAAAAAAAACAAAAAAAAAAAAAAAAAACAGTACACTTTCCCACAGTTTTGCTCACATAGAATTTTTGGAAATATATGCCCACTCACAGTTACTGTATCATAATCTACACAGTGCATTGCTGCCTGCTCCCAATCATAYCTGTCACATTAACAAACTGGCACATTAGAGATAATCATGAGAGTTCATTTTTGTACAAACAACTTTTATTTTATTCTGATTAGACGATTATGAAAATTGAAGGCAAAGCCTAGAATTGATACGAGGCATCTGCAGGATTTTATCAGAGGGTAGGCACAAAACCATCACCATTAGAAGCAGGGGCATGGGGCTCAGGGAACATAGACACCACAGGAGGCTCTTTGTTTGCAAAAAAAAAAAGGAAAAGTAAACTTGAATTTGAATAAAGCTTTATTGTGATTGTACAAAGCACAATGAAATTACAGCTCAGAACACCCATTCACAAGAAGACAAAACATACACAAACCAGGATCACATTCTGCAGCATATTAATGACCCTGTTCATTATGCATGCAGGACTCCTCTGGTGCATCTTGCTCTCTGTCCAGAGCTGAATTCATCGATCTCGCCTGCAGAGCAGTTGGCTGTGGGTCTGGAGAGGAATACGGTCTTCTGTTCGATGGCGTGGTTGTCGCTCAGAGGCCTCGCAATCTCCTCATGGGCCGTGACGACAAGGAGGAGGAAGGGCGTGTCGACTGGTCGGGGCTGTGCTCWTTTCTGCTACTGGAACTTTCTGAGAAAGTTAAAAAGAGCAGAGGCATTCCAGCGCCATCCTGGAAGCCACCGTGCACCTTGACTTCTCCGCATCGAGACCCTGTTCAAAAGGTGAAAAGCTCTCTTGTCCTTTCAGAGAATAATTAAGGGAAATAGCCGGGTACTACACTCACTCAGAACATATTRACCCGTTTAAAAGCAAATGCATTGTGACATGTCATACAGAAACATTTACCAAGTGAAGATTAAAAAAAAAACAACTCTGCTGACTGGAGGGAAATCCACATTATTAAACATAGTGCTGCTGGGAAATGTTCAAAAGTATTAGGCTCTTGCTCATCAAAATGGCACACCTACTTCTGAGATAAATGGCTCCAGACTGCTTTAACATCTATCAATTAATATGCAAATGAGGAAGCGGGTATAAAGTGCCTACCGCTGTGGATGAAGCGAAAGCTCACCACTTTAATCTTTCAATCCTGACGATGTCAAAATGTCAGAATGTTGTGTCAGTTGTTTTCTGCATGGCTGGAAGGTTTTGACCCTTTAAAGAGGCGGCAGAATCCTGTCTGTCGCTTAGAAGACGACATTTTCTGTCCATGAATCTTTCAGTCAAGGTAGAGCCATTAAAAATGTGCTTAAGCTGCTTTAATCAATGTTTTATTTAGCATGCGTTCTGCAAAGATGAAAGGTGTCATTTGGTTGATAAAATGAGCTCAGAATAGTCAAACTTACTAAAGTGTGGTTGAACTTCTGTGTGTTTTATTGCGTTGTTTTAGTTCGAAGTTTTAAATCTAGATTTGCAGCAGGTGGGTTGAAATTTAAAAGAAATTTGTGGAAAAATACTTTTATGCTTCCTTTTGAGCAACAAGTCACTAAGTCAGGGACACAACACAAACCAGATATTTACTACAAGATTTAATGATGACAAAAAAAAGTTAGAAGAGGATAAAATATCTGTCTGACAATTATTTTCACAGTTTTGATTTTTTTTGTTGTTCCAAGTTATTTGTATTCCAGTTTCATGCCATCCACATTCCCTACCYCTATGTTTTTTCTCACACTGAGGGTCAGGGTGACCTGATTCCCTTTGGGACTTAAAGCAAAATGGCAGACCTGTGTATCATTTWAAAAAAACAGATTTTTATATCTCAACATTAAGAGGTACAATGTGTCCTTGTTATACAGTAAATTAAAYGACAAACAGTATTTTGTCATTGACRTCTCAACAAACATTGYAATAYTCAGTTTGATTAGTGCACTAAGTTTGGTGTTAATGTCAATCTTTCTTAAAAGCTAAATCTGATGCAGGCTTGATTATTTGTTGTACCTGTCATATATGGGCGAATTGTTGACATAGTATCTTTATATGTTGAAGGAACTGGTGACTGCTCATTGTTTAAGTTGACTTCTTTGAGAGATATTTAATGGTACTGGAATATTTTATTTTCCACTTTTTGTGACATTAAATTTGTTGTTGAAAAGGGTGTAAGTAGTGGTAGGGGAAGAAAGTAAAGCAAAGACAGACTTTAAGATTCTGCACCAGCACTCTGTGTTACTAAGACACAGTTTGTTCCTATTTCTTTATTTGACTAAAATTAAAAAAAAAATTCTAATGATAACATTTTGACCTTAATAATGCTAAAATTGGTAGTAAAAGTTGAGCTCCAGTGCAGAATGCAGAAGATGAGAACAAAAAGAAAAGAAAAGTAACTAAAAAGTCACTGCCAGCACAGGAAAAAAAAAATCAGAAACCAAACTAAATGCGCACCTCAGTAAAAAATATTTTTTTTGGTTTCCATTGTTCAGTCTCAGATCCTTGAGTTAGTGAATTTATGTTAAGTTTTAATCAACAGAGGTCAGGTTTGTGGATTAGAAAATAATGAGCAGGTGAAATGTAAGAAAAGAATGAGCAGGCTTAAAAAAGTGGAAGTGATAAAAAGGAGCCTGGCAAACACTCCCTTTCCCTCCACAATAAACAAAATAATGGTCATGGTAAAAACTTAAAATGGAACAAGTGGGTGATGGATAAAGTGACTGAGGATGTTACTGAAAGATTCAGTGTCAGGTATTTACATTCTGCTGCCATTTTACACCTGCCAATTTAAATTTTGTTCAGCACTTGTCCAGCTCTTTGAAGTTTTATGAGGACATGGTGGGAAGTTTGTCAAGATATGTCACGATTTGGCTACCAGGACTGGATTAAAAATCAGCTAAATGCAGCAAATATCATGGAAAACTTTGGATCGTCAGAAAGTGTGGCGAACAACGAGGGAAGTTTAAATGTTTACAAGAAAGTCTTGCTCCTTAGAAGCAAAACATAAAGAGAAACAATATAAATTGCATAAACAATTTGCTAAAGAGAAGTTGAAATTGAGATGTTGAGGCTAAATGGAGCAGAACACTAGCTGAAAGCTGTAAGAAGTAAAACAGTAGCTAGAAACCAAATCTTATCTTCAGAGGACAAGACATGATCAAAATAAAACATAAGTTGTCCAGTTTCCTTTGCTTGAATACATTTGTTGGTGTGCAATAGTTTGATGGCATAATGTAGGTGATATTTAGTTGTCAGGGAACAGGGAATGCATATTGTAGCATTCTGCTGTGTTTGACTGTTTGTCATGTCACTGCAGTGGAGGATTGTGGGTAGGATTCATGTTTGTTGTTGTTAAATTATTTTAGGGATTTGGTTGACATTGTTCTTTCAGCAATTAGTCTGTTGTGTTACWGTAATTTGTGTGTTCATTATTTGTTAACTTGTGTTAAAGCGTTCAGCAGAAGTAACCATAAGTGAGAGTGGTWGGCCTAGTCATTAATAAGACCTGTGAGTTTCACTTTGTCTGTGTTGTTCATGAAGAAGAACCCAATAAAGGTTCTTCAAAACTGCCACCTGCTGGTGAAGTCTTGAACTACAACATGAGCAACAGCTCTCTCTGTAGCTGTGAGGTGTCATGCTACAATACTGTGCTTGACACATGTGCACTGTTATAAAGAACTTGTAAGTTTTACTTGAAAAAAATCCTTGTAACAATTTGCACTAACATTTGTTAAGTAAACACAAATGCTACAAATTCAAGTAATATTTACTCATCATTATCTAGTAAAACTTATTAAGAATATAGTTAAAGATGTGTGAATAAATCAGGTAAATTTTACTTAATTTGATGAAGTATATGTTACAAGATTTAACTGAGCAAATTAAGTAAAATTTACCTGGTTTATTCACAAATCTTTAACTATATTCTTAATAACTTTTACTAGATAAGGATGAGTAAATATTACATGAATTTGTAGCATTTAAATTTACTTAACAAACGTTAGTGCAAATTGTTACTGGGATTTTTTCAAGTAAATCTTACAAGTTATTTTTTCAGTGATGGGGAAAAGAACGTCACAGCACTCATCTCCTGGATGAGCTGAATGATTTAAAACTGGAATAGAAATAAAATGTGAAATAATGTGTTTGTAGTTAGATTGCAGAAAATGTATGGAAAAAAGAGAGAAATAAATGTGAATGCTGAATCAGAAGACTTTAGTATTTTCTATACATTGAAGCAGGACTTAAAAGCCAAAAGACAAAATAGAATCAAAAGATAATCTTTGCTAGAGTAAGGTGAGATAAAGAAAAGTCAACAAAACTGTACATACCCATCAGAGACCGTAGAAAAAAGTGTATTTTATCTATATTCTTACTTTTGTTCTGAAAGCATTAACAAACTTTCCCCTCATTAGATATTCTGTGTCTCTTGCCCATGAGATGCACTTAATTGCAGCCTTTTATTTTGCAGATTTGCTCTTACAGTTCAGCCAATAAAATCCTGCAATTCATTAATTCTGCATTGTGTTATTGGCTCCAGCGCAGAATGTGGGCCGTTCAATTTTATTTTCTCGCACCCGGTAAGAGGAAGATTTAGAGGGGAGATCATGTTTAATAGGCTTATTCTAGTGCAGTTGCATCACTATTGAGTGTCCAGCAAAAGAAGGGAGGGCAAACAAGTTATTATAAATATTTAAAATTCTATTTTAAAAGGCCTCATTGTAACYAATTAACTTCACGCTCTGGCGAAAAAGATGCAATGCTGTATTGAAGATGCTGTGGAGGTTGCTGTTTTGTCAGCGTGAGTTAGGAATAGTGTCTGTTGGTCTGTATAATTAGTTTTTCTGTCCTGCTTAAATACTGTTTTTTCCCTCTGATCTCTCCAGGTGTTGTACCTTCAGAGTTCAGCTTTGTATCTGACTGTGAGTAAAGGAGGAACCATGGTGCTGCGAGACGGAAGGGACTTGTCCATTCTGCACGCCCGTCGCCTGCAAAACAACACGGTCGCGCCCAAGGACCTCTGGGTCACAGATGTCGTGCTTCTGCAAAACACGAATCAGGTTTTATCTTTTGAGACTTCCCCACATTTAATTGCCGTGGGGCCTGACAACGACTCCCTCTGAGTTATTCACAGAAATGATTATGAATTATTAACTGATAAATAATCAGAGTTATCAGAGCAGATAACTTACAGAGGGAGACAATTACTTTGTTGCTTTATCAATTATTGATCAGCGGATCTGTGTAATTGCATTGMCGACATGAAGCTGATGCATAAAGTTTGGGAAGTAAACATTCACTTGTTTGGAGGGAAACCATCAATGATTGATCAAAACCTTTAATTAGGAACTGTGTGATCTACATATTTGGGAAGTGAATGTTGTGATTAACATAATGAATAACACACATTATGGAAAATACACAAAAAATAACCTTGCTACACGATTTATTGTYATCAATGAATAAATTTGCATATTATGAATGTGCTTAAGTTGGCATTAATTAAACTTTAATGCTTAATAAAACAACATGTTAAACAAAAATAKTTATGTGTTTAAACACTTTTACACAGTTTTATTGATTACTTTCAGATTTCAGCATTTACATTTTTTTACATATAGACTGGGTCAAGATCGTCTTTTTGGATTGACATAACTTATTTCCCACTGTTGTTTCCCAACATAACTGAGTTAGTTTTAAATTATTCAACAAATGAATCTGTATATATGTTTTATAGTTTTATACATCAGTCTYGCTGTCTCAGATATGATTTCATTCATTTAACATAACGGACATAAGTAACTCCAACACRGTGTTTAGTCACACAATAAAGTTATACCATTGAGACATTCAACTTAAATAATACCAAGTCAAACAAATCCAAAAATATCTATTAAGCAAAAATATAAACCAAGAGAAATGTTTTGATCCACCCAAATATTAAAGAAAAAAAACATTAACCATTAGACCACTTTGATTAAAATATTATTAGACCTAAATGCAGCATTTGACACAGTCAACCACATCAACCTTGTTGTCAAGCTTAAATAATTTAGACCTGCAACTGTGCCCAAGTAGTTCAATTCATATCTCACAGATAAAAATGTATCTCTAGTTATGYGTAATTAATCATCTAAACAGTACACATGGAGAAAGTTCCTCAGGGATGGGTATTTGGCCCTACACTTTTTAACTTATACTACAAGGGAGCGTCATCAGGACACAAGTCATCATTTTTTGTATGCTGATGACACACAGATTTATATTGCAGTTGGCTTTCCATTTTCTTAATCAAAGAAGATGTTTAACATTTTTTTTAAATATGATTTATTTCTACTCTGTTCTTTGGGAACTTTGTTTTCAGATAGCCGTGTCTTTCACATGTAAAGAGGTGTGTTTTTATGACATGCCACCTATACAAGACTACAGATGCAAATATAAACTTCAGGTAACATTTATGAAGCTATATTTCTTTTGATAATCTGCTCAAAGAAAATCCTTTTTGTCTGTGTTTTTCTCTCAGAGTTTCAGCCTTGATTGTTATCCAAAGTATACACAGTGGAATGTGGGAAATAATGGTTTGCATGCCATCATAAATACCTTTTTTAAAATTCTTTAGGGTTGGAGGTTTGTACCCTGGTGTCTGGACTACTGGGTGGATCCATCTGAMCCTGACCAGGCTGTGCTCACCGTAGGAGATACTGGAGGACAGGTAATATACAGGCAGAGAAAGAGGAAAACCAAGGAATAAGGTAGCACAGTGTCACAAGTCRATTGTGTTGCAGATGACTTAACAAATTATGTCTGTGTGTTTACCTAGGTCAGTGTGTTATATTTCACTTCAGCTCAGGTCTCCTTGTTTGAGAGACCCAACATGAGGATAGATTCTGACTCAGCACACGTCATCCTGTGGGATGACCTGGTCAAAGGCAAACATCACTGCTGTTATGTCGAGGCACACCAAGCACACGCACCAGACTGGGCCAGAAAAGGTAAAAAATAATAATAATAACAACAACAACAACAACAACGCATGTGTTCAAAAACAAATACAAACATGTGTACAAGTGAAAACAGATGAACTAATTGATACWGAAACTGAAATGATAACTGAAGAGAACTAGAGCAGTGGTTCTCAACTCTAGTCCTCGAGGCCTATCCCATAAGGACCAGACCTGGGAACTACAGATCCATAGAGAAAATCTTTAAAATACATGGTCAAAAAAGCGAGAGAAAAAAATCCTTAACTACTCACTAAACACAAAATCCTTGAYATTGTTTTGCTTTGTGGTATAGAATTGAGCTATTCCTGGRAAATACATAATAACCACCCACCCCACCCCCTTTCATATAGCTATTAAGTTGTAGATTGTCATAAAAAAGCAAAGTACATAAAATAAATGGGTGGGATGAATTGAACACTCTCTGGATATCAGGAGGGTCTGAACACACACCCACACACTCCTCACCTTGACACCTGGGATGAGAGGCACCAGGCCTGCTTATGCAACACGTGTAAAAACGCTTGGGTGGGTCCCACTCACTGTATGCTCTCACTTCACAGTTGAATCCCAACACACACACACCACTCCCTGTTGAAAAAATGTCGGAGGCGTGGGGGTCCGGCCTCTGAGACTCCCCTCTTCAGCTCGATGTGTGTAACAAAGAGGTTGCTTAGTTTTATCTCAATTGCGTCATTTGAACAGAGCTTCTGTGAAGGGTAATTGGGCTTTCTGATAATGATTCAGCAGAGGCTGTGCTTTGAGGAGTGGGGTGGGGGGTCACAAAAGGAAAATAAAGTACATGCAAAAGCTGTAAATAAACAACAACAAATTGGAAAACAATAAAAGAAAAAAGGGGAAACAGAGGAGACAAAACAAAGTGTGTGCATGTAAGGATATGGTAATGTTTGTTAGTGTCGGGTGGGAGGGGGATGGGGTTTGGGATGTGGGTACAAAAAAAAGCCTATGAGAGTGTCTATGTGTGTTTGCATACCTCAGGGGTGCTGCTGGTATTCTTTTGAAGTTTCCTCCCCTTCAGTATGAGTGGGCCGTGCACCATTAGACATGGCTGGTTATCCAGACTCTCAAACCTCGGGGCTCGTGGGCCACCAGAGATGGAGGGAAGGGGGGGGGGGGGGGGGGGGGGG